TTTACAAGAGAGGTGAACAAAAGTGGATGAAACAGCTGGGAAGAAAGGCTACCAGTCATTAATGGTCATCTTGGGGGAACTGAAACATATGCCCAGGGGGGTGGGTTTAGAGAGCCCACTGACAGGCCTGATACGGAGCCAGCATGCGTTGGTACAGCCAGACTAGTGGCTGATGTACTAAAATATTTCTGTGCTGGTGGTAAAAGCCACTGTCTGGCGTACCCCCACTGTCCTTCACCTCCCTGCTGCTCCCCCATGACTCCCTGAAAGTGATTAGAAACCCTGCTGGTAGCTGAGCTGTCACATGGTTCAGATTCTATAACCACCCTGGGCTCGGCTTAGGCACTTTTCCAGGGGCTGCCAAACCAAATCCAAACTCCTCGGCATTCTGAGATCCGTATTAATCCGACCCTAACCAAGCTTTCTGGTCGATTTTCCATGACTCCTCCAGTGCATTCCTTGTATGTGACTTATGCTATCCCAACATCAAATTTTTCTTCTGCTTTTCCCTTCCTGCTCTGTGTGCTGAAATCCTTCAGGTTCCCCAAGGCCTTGCTTGTAGGCTACCAGTCCCAAGAAGTTGCCCCAGCACCCTTCTGCCAGAGGCGAGCTTTCCTTCCTCACTGTTATTTGTCACGTCTATGTCTCCCTGCCTCTCTCTTTCTTTCTATGTACATATATGTATCTACATCTGAATACGCATATGTATATTTTATGGATATATCCTTTTATACATATAACTGAATGCATTCTTTCTTAAATTTATATGGCCCGGTACCTTAAAGTTAGTGTATCAATTTAAGGTTATTTCAGATGTAGGAACGGAAACCAACTCTGCCTACCCAGCTTGGTCCTCACGCCTTCCCTCTGACTACCACACAGCCTCATGGCTCTGAGTCCGGATCACCCCATCAGCCAATGGCTCCCAGGTGGGTAACTCCAACCTCATGTACCCCATTTGCCTACTTGACAAAGGGAACTTACTGAGTCCTAACTTAAGCAGTGGGAGAATGGCATCCAACACGTGCAAAATTCCCAGCCTTTCCCTGTGGCACCTTAGATTTAAATGTCTGGTCTTAAACCTCATGTGCTTTGGGTTGTAAGCTATATTGTGTCTCAGAGTGAAACAATTTATTTAACAACTTCCTTTAAAAAAATAATATTGACTGTTCTAGCTTTTCTGAGCCCATTAGCAAAAAAGACATTTTGGGTATGAGTCAATGCCCCGTTGGAAAAAAGAGGGGAAAATCAGTGTTCTCTCAGGGGCTCCTGAGTGGACCGGAGCTGACATTTTATACCCCAGACATTGAGCTGAGGATTCTAGACTTTGTTCAGTTTCCACACCTTCTTCCAGCATCCTCAGGGGTGGACATATCGCGGGCAGACTCCCTCTGTAGCGCAGTACTCAGTACACAGCCTTGAGTACTACACACATGATTATTGGTTGTGTGCAGGAAATCTGGAGCCTGTTTTAAGAACCCTGCTGAGCAAAATAAGCCCATCAGAGAAAGACAATTTTCATATGGTTTTACTCATACGCGAAATACAAGAAACAGTGCAGGGGATCATAGGGGAAGGGAAGGAAAACTGAAGGGCAAATCATGAGAGAGGGAGACAAACCATGAGAGACTCAGCACTGGAAAACACACTGAGGGTTGCGGGAGGGGAGGTGGGCGGGGTATGGGGTAACTGGGTGACTAGCATTAAGAAGGGAGCTGGATGAGCATTGGTGAGCATTGGGTGTTAAATGCAACTGATGAATTGTTGAACACTACCTCTAAAACTCATGATGTGCTATATGTTGGCCAACTGAATTTAAATAAATTTAAAAAAAGAACTACTGTGTTCTTACTATGGGCCAGGGGTTACATACATCCTCACTGAACAATCACTAAACAACCTCCCAAGGCACGTACTGCCCCATTTTGCTAATGAGGACACTGGCTCAGGGAGGCCAAGTGATACACCCAGTGTCATCCCCCGTGTCCGCAGTACCCTGGGAGGTGTCATGAGATGTACATGGCTTAGTCTCCAGCCCGGTCCCTGACTTCTGGTCCCCGATTCCCTCGGGAACAGATCCCCACCCTAGACTGCTCATTCATTTCTCCTTCTCGTGCCCCTGTGGTTGGGGGGTTTGGGAGCATCAGCCCATCTGATCCTTTCAGCCTGTGAACCTCTGCACAGCATCTATCCCCTTATTTGTTTCCGGGCAGGTTCATTTTCCTTTTAAGACGAGCTGTGGTCCAGCTATGCCCCCTTCATGTCTGGTCCACAGGGTCACCACTAGGATCATTGGGCATCATGGAGGCTGTCCAGGAGATTTTGGTAGTGCTGATGTTGGGATTTTGGTAGATGCAGATAGTGAATTTTTGGAAATTGTGTTGAAATCAAATGAACGCACTCAGAAATTCCTAAAGTAGCGCTTAAATTCTGCTTTTATTATTGAGCAAACGAAAGGCAAGTGGAGGACATGGGTAGGGCAAAGGGGCACAAGAGGCCACTTGGGGCATTTCCTGTCAAATCTAAGTGCAGGCGCAGATGCCAGGGAGCATTCCATTACCGTGCAGCACATACGTGTCAACACACACAGTGGCATAGTTTGTTTGGGCATCTCCTCAATGCTTACCTGTGTCTAAGCCATTTAAAGCAGGCCCTGCTTTCTACCAGAGAACTATCTGCAGTAAATGAACATGTTGGTGTTAACATGCTGGTGAACTATTATATTACCTTTCTTAAGTAACATAAAATGCTCACAAGAGGTCTGGCACAGTTGCGCAGGCTGTGCACTGCACAACTAGGGGTGTGTAGTCACACAGACTACTGATACAGTAAAAATGCACTTCAACTCAGGAGGACCTTTGGGAGATGATAAAAATGGTAGGGAGTGGGTACCTTTTGCAAGAAGACTCAGAATAGGTGATATATTTCTAAGAGGGGACAAGTATAGCCTGTGATAGGATCAAAAGCTTTAGAAGCATGCCATCCTGGCTTCAGGTCCTATTGTCACCCTATCAGCACTTAGTACCTGGCTCACCTGGGTAGGTGACTTAACTTCTCTGAATCTGTAAGAGGGAGGGTGGCAAGCTTCTTCCTTTATGCTCTGTGCAAGGGGTGGCCCCTGTAGCTGGTTGTCAGGCCTCCTGCCTCCTGCATTCTTCCATTCCTCCTGTTCAGTGACCCAGCTAAAGGTTTCTTATCACCCAAAGGCCGTTAGGCCGTTGCATAAATATATATACATATATGTTATATATGCATAATCATGGTAAACTATGCATAACGTAAAGCATACCACTGTAACCATTTTTAAGTATACAGCTTAGTGGCATTAATGTGCAGCCATCATGGCCATCTAGCTCCACAACTCTTTTCATCTTCCCAAACTGAAACTCCATCCCCATTGAACGACTCCTCTTTCCTCCCTCCCCACACCCCGGTCCCAGACCTTCCCCCAAGAGCCCCCTCCCCCAGTCTACTTTCTGTCTCTGTGAGTCTGACAGTTTTAGCTATCTCCTACGAATGAAATCACACAGTATTTTTCCTTTTGTGGCTGGCTTATTTCACTTAGCACAATGTCTTCCTGGTTCATCCAAGTCATAGCACGTGTCAGAAATTCTTTCCTTTTTGGAGCTGAACAACATTCCATTGTATAGGTAGACCATACTTATTGATCCATTCATCCATCAATGGACACTTGGGTTCCCTTCCTCTTTTGGCTGTTGGGAGTAATGCTGTTACAAACACAGATGTGCAAGTATCTCCTTGGGACCCTGTTTTTCCTTCTTTTGAGTACCCGCCCCAAAGTGGAGTTGCTGGATCATCTGGCAATTCTCCAGTGAGTTTTTTGAGGAACTGCCATCTCATTTTCCACAGCAGCGGCCACCAGCCATGCTCAAGGGCTCTAATTTCTCCACATTCTCATCAAACTTGTTGTTGTTGTTTTTTTAATAATAGCCATCCTAGTGGGTGTTGCACATGTATTTTTAAAATTAAGGCTGAACACCTTCTTTTGTTTCCTTGCTTCCTTTGTGGCAGTTTCCTTAGATTGCTGTGGGCAGAGAGATGTGAATTCCTCTGCCTGCTTAGAAGTGATGGGACCAGAGGAGTCACTGCTGGTCCACCACTGAGGCACACAGGTGACTCGACCTGTGATAATGCAGGGGACAGGTGCTAGTGGTGAGGGGAAGCAGGGAGTAGGGTTGGACCTTTCTTCTGAGTGAGGTGTCAGGAAGAGCTCTGCGAAGGTACTGGCTTCTGGCTCCTATTCCAGAAGACAGTGGTTTCATCCTGGGGATGTGTGTTTAATATCCCCATAATAGCAACAAATGTTTTCAATTATTTTATTTTATTTTTTTTGGACCTGGGTACAATTTTGATCCCCTGCTCCCAAGAACAGGATTACACTTTCAACCAAAGCAATCACGGACAATTTAGTTCTGGGCCATTTCCTCACCACCCCCTCCTCCTTTTCCCATAAAATGGATGCTGAATTCTCACCAGAAAGAAATAAACAGCGAGAGCAGCCTATATTGAGATCAGAGAATCCTCGAGTGCTATGGTTAAGGAATCACTGACCTAGAATGTCAGAGGTTCATGTGGGCTACAGGGAAGACAGGGGTTCCCGGCTCTGGGAAGAGGTATTCTTGGCTAAACTGTGGCCCATGCTTTGTTCTTGGCTTCAAGCACAGTCCCTGCCAGCTGCTACCTGGGGTTGGGACACTCACTTTTGGGGCAGGACTTCACCAGCAGCTATCAGTTATCTGCTCTCTGTTCTGAGCTACCTGCTGGAGAGCTTTTCCACTTGGAACCCCACTATGGCCCTCTCCTGTCTTTGTCTCCCAGATCTGCCCCACAACCCTCTCTCCCAGCTGCACTGGTAGCCCAGTGGGGAAAGATCAGGGGAATTTCGCCCACTTTCATTTCAATACAACTGAAATGTGGAATCATACAGGAACCCAGAGGATGAGAGCAGCAGCCACTGGTGGTCATGGCCACATCCTCACGGAATGTCCACCTGTTCTCTGGCGTTCTGCGTAGATGGTGGGGGTTGGCACGTGGGCCTTCTTCACCCGGTCTGTCATCACAGTTTGCGTGGCTCTCCTGACTGATGTCCCAGTTGGCAATTAGTAAGTAGCACACTCCGACTCTCAACCTATGATGGTTGAAAAGATAGATCAAAGCAATCTGCAGTGTGCTGTTGCCATAGAAAGAGAAGAAAAAGCCAATTAAAAAAAAATAATAAAGTTTGACTTAAATCCTGACATACACCCCACCACGGCCTGCACCTCCCACTCCCTCACAGCTGGATCTAGGAGAAGGTTGCAGTAAGTGCTGGAAAATAATAGTTATCTAGACCCTTCGTGTGTGGGGCCTGAGCTACCCACTAGGGCTTCTGGAATAAAAAAGAAGCACTTCCATCCGAGTGCCTGAACCAAAGGAGCGGGCCGCTGTGTGGGTGTGGGAGCCGTGCCTGGGCTCTTGAGCAGAATTTATGTCCTTCATCTGCAATTAGCCCATTGCCACTTCTGAGAACATGAATACTTCACTCTGCTGTTAATGGGAATGCTGTTCTCACCCCAATGGGAGGAAAAATGCCCAGAAACATGTTGAATGGATTTTTTTTTTGATACTTATAAACATTGCAGTGATTTTCTGCTTCCAAAAAGGACATGTTGATAACTTTTCCATATGGTAATTTTCTGTTATGATGGTTAGTGGCTTGGCAATTTTAAAGACTGAATTCCTAACGGTCAGCAGAATTTCATTCGGTTTTCAATCCGGAAGACCAGTGGAGTTTTCACAGAGGAAGCCATTATTTCGTTCCTCTTTATTCATATTGAAAAGACGTGTCTCTGTGCCCTACCCCATAGTTACCTCATCTTTTCAAATGTGGCTTCAGGTTCCTGAGAAGCCTGGAGTGCAGACCCGAGGGCACCCTGATGGGTTCCTCGTGGTTCAGAAACGCTAGCTCTGAGTTTCCCCAAGTTGCCTTTTCCAATCCCAATCACACTCTGTGCGTCAGCGTTGCCAGGGTAAATGCAGCCAGGCCCGGGATAGAAACCCTGTTTTCCAGGCAGAGATGACTCTCAGGCAAACAGGCGCTCTTCCCTGCCCGACAACAGGCTGTCTCACACAACTTAAAAATTCAAAATGTCTTTTCCTAAAAATATCAAAGAAGAATCTTACAAAATTATTTAATATCACTTGTTTTTTTTTTCCTCTCCCCCTCGCGTGGGTGGTATTCACAGTAGAAGAAGTTATATTTATGTACCTAATAGAAATCAAGTAGATGATCCTAAGAACGGTATTAGCTCTGGAAACAACCCAAACGTGGATTATGGTTGACATGAAAGACTGAAACGAATTGCAACCTCCCTCCTGTTAGGACTGCGAGGTTTCATCTGTAAAAGGCGGTGAATATACACGTGTGGAGCCTGAATGGATTATGTCATGTAAAAGGTGAATGAAAACCGGCCTTTTCAGATGCCACTTTTCTGCAACCCTTTCCTGGGGTGGTCTTTTCCCTTCTAGCTTGTCTCCGTCAATTATACTGTGGACGGCTTGATGGCCCAGGCAAAATGATGCTTTTTTCTTTTTTTTTTGAAGGCTTGGTTATATTTATATACACTGGCCACTAGACATGTCAGAACGTATCCACCTGCTAATGCCAGGTTATGAGAAAGTCACTTCACAGATCCATTCCTAGAATGGTTCTCAAAGCAACAGCTTCCCTGGCACCTGGAAGGGAGTGTTTTATCTCAGGGAATGGCAAAATGGGACCGGTTGTGTCAGTCCAGGCTCTCAGTTGTAGGTGACCGGATGTACTCTAAGCAGAACGATATTTACATAAGGACATAGCTTGTCTTCAGAATTTGGGGATGGATGAAGAAAGGCTATACAATAATCTCACAGGAACAATGTCCGAGATCACCCCACAGAGTCAGGCTGCCAAGAAGGCTGATGCCTTTCTCCTGACCATGAAGATGCAGCCTCAGCCAGAGCCACAGACCACCTTGGCCTAACCTGGAACTTGAAAATAGGTGTTACCTTCTTTCCGTGTAACTCCATTCAGAATGCGAGTGCCTGCGCCCTCCAGCTGATGTGTAGGTACCCCTGAAGCCTAGCCAAGCACTGTGGGATATGTAAACTGTGGCCTTCCGGCTCCCTCCCTGTGGGAAGATGCATATTCTAGAATAGGATAGGAATAGAGGAATAGAGGTTGAGAAAGTCAGCCACAGTAGCTACCACATGTGAAGCAGACCAGAAGAGGGTGGGGAGGGTGAGTGGGAGAGAGAGGGCTGAGCCAAATGGAAGGACTTTCAGCTCTGCTTGGCGGCACATAGACCGTGGTTTAGAGGGCTCAGTACAAACTGGTTGGTGGAGAAGCTGGGACTGGTCAGTGGTCACGGCATCCAGAAGGAGTCTAACTAGTCCGGTGCCTACCTTGCCACCCTGTGTCCCTCCAGGCCCACCTCATAAGCAGTCCCGCAGGGAGGTCAGAGGACAGTTCAACCATCCGGTCTTCTGTGTGGAGAGGGCTTTTTTTCTCTCCCTCCCAAGGGACATGGAGGCTTCTGGAGTGCCCTTCTCCTCATCTTCTCCTCCTCCCCTGTGCCCAGGTCTTCTTCTGGGTGGTCTTGGCTCTGGGGAGGGAGCATCTGCTTCTAATCCAAGCTGGAGCCATGTTTGTGCTGCCTCGGGGTCTTGTATGTAGAACATACAAGGTCATCTTGTTTATTTCCATGCAGAGCTTGAGAGAGTCATCTTGTGATGTTGTAGCTATTCCTTTCATGGTTTCTCTGCTTACCTTATCTGGCTTTCATAAAAGTCGCCGGGATTTAAGGGAATTATGAGTATGTTTGAAAGAGGCAGATGATAGTGGTGATATATTTTTACTATGCCTTTGCATCTGTAATACATGTATAGCCATCCTCTGGGTTAGGTCTAATTACTTTCAACATATAGATGGAAATTCATAGATTTAAAGATGGAATTTATAGGTGGACACCCAAGTTCAGAGAGGTAAAGTGACTTGTTTAAAGTAACACAGCCATCAGAAAGGATGAATACCCAACTTTTGTATCAACATTCACGGGACTGGAGGAGATTATGCTGAGTAAAATACATCAAGCAGAGAGAGTCAATTATCATATGGTTTCACTTACTTGTGGAGCATGAGGAATAATGCAGAAGACACTGGGAGAAGGACAGGAGAAGGGAGTTGGGGGAAATCAGAGAGGGAGACAAACCATGAGAGACTGTGGACCTGAAAACTAAACTGAGGGTTTTGGAAGGGGAGGGGTGGGGGGGATGGGTGAGCCTGGTGGTGGGTATTAAGGAGGGCACATACTGCATGGAGCACTGGGTGTGGTGCATAAACAATAAATCTTGGAACACTGAAAAAATAAAATAAAATTAAGTAACACAGCAGCTCAGAGCTGGTCTTGTGACCCTTAAGTAGAAGTTTCTGTTGCCACATACGAAATTCTCTTGTCATAAAGATATGAACAAGAATAGATGGAAGTGGGAGGCTTGATGTTGAGGTGAGAGATATGTGCGCGCGTGTGTGTGTGCACGCACACACGTGTGTGCACATGAAGGGATCATCTAGATTTTATGAAGTTTTACATAAATGTATATGCGTTTATTCAACTACAGTGCATGACTGGGAGGGTGTTGCATTTTTCAATTGAGATCCTATAACTTGGCATCGTTGTCCCATTGTTCTACCTTAACAAAGCCAGGGTAGCTGGAAGAATCAGGCCAGGATTGCACACATGCTTTTTATTTGCCACATGGGGCCAGTTGGCAAGATGCCTGTAGAGGGTTGACGCTCCAGGGAACTAGAAAACACTGATTGGCCCATGACGAGGTCAGAAACTCTGAAGCATCTGTCTGGAAGAACAAATATTCCCTGACATTGCCTACACCAGCCCTCACCCTGGGCGGGCATTTCTGCCTGTCCCCTCGTGGAATGGGCGAATAAAATAGAGGATGGTTGAGGCTTGCCCAAGGTCCTTTAGTGAGTGGGTGGCCCCTGGTGTGCCTACATCCTGTGTTGCTGTCCTTAGAGGGCTGGACTCTGCTGGGGCAAAGGTTCCCGAGAAGGGCCAGGCCCCCAGGAGAGGGGCCAAGGGCAGAAAGAGAAGGTTCAGCTGGTAGGCAGGTGAGAGGCTATGTGATGGGTGTTGGGGACGTTGATCCTTGAGCAAAATTCACCATTTGTGCAGCCTCGTCTATCTGTACTGAGTGCCAGGGCCCGCACGGCACCCCTAACAAAGCATTCCTGCTTTTGAGGAGCTTCTACTGATTAACAGACGGATAGCCACCCTGATCATAAAAAACAGCGAACCGCGTAGAGCATCCCACACCTACAAAACGTTTTTCACCTGCAGTGTCTGGTTTCGCATGCACGGTTTCTAGATGCAGAAAGAGCAGGTCAACGATCATTTTCTAGGGAGAATCTCTAAAGCTCAGAGTTGTTAGACGCAAACTCATTCTTTCTGCTCCGTAGCCCAGCACTCTTTATTTCAATAATGATGGTTTCAGGCCAGGAGTAGATTGTATTAATGTGAGGGAGAGAAAACCACCAACACAGTGTGAGATGCAGGATTTTTTCCCCCAACAAATACCAAGTGCTCCTTGTCCCTCAGTCATCACCCTGACACAGCACACAGCACTTCTTCCTGGTCCACTTCACATGACGCCTGCTGCACTGCTAGGGCGCTTTGCCCAGCAGCAGTCAGCCTTTAAATGAAGTGCATTTATTAGCAAGATAAACTCCAAATGACCACAAGTATTTCTGCTGCACTTTTGGCAACTGTACAGGAAAAGGTGTCTCAACAGAATCCACGGGATTTTAGTTATACCACAAAAGGAGTTGTAAGGCAGTTCAATTTGAGGCTCCAACAACAATATCCACGACATAAATGTCAGCAGTCAGCCACATCCCCACTTCCCCCTACAACCTTTCTGCAAGCATTCTCCCCAGACTTGCTGCTCCAACCCTGGTCCTCTTGTCTGTGGACTCATGAGGAAGCCACAACATTGTGCTACTGGAGGGAAGGACAACAGAACCACAGGCTAGGAGGACAGCTTATAGCCCTAGGCCCTCTGCAAAATGCTGCTTCCTGACCCTGGGGCATGGTCCCCACCCTCTGGGGGTGGTCAAGGGGAGGGGATAGCTTTTCCCACTGCCAAGGAAAAGTGGCACCAGCTTGGGATCACCATTCTCATCTATGTTTGAGGGATCAAAGGAATGATTCAAACTGACAAATCCCTGATAGTCCAGAATCCTAGGCAAACTTGGATGACTGTCAGGAAAATGGCAGGTCTCGTGCTGAGTCTGATAAGTCAGGTAGGATTTGGAGAGCTGGGGCAGGGTGTGTCAAAGTATCCAAGAACACTCCGTGGTGTACTTTAGGTTAGTTTATCAGTTAATCCAGTAACCATATTAGTTTCCCAGAGCTCTTATAATAAATGACCACACACTGGGGATGGGGGTGAGGGTAGAGGGGAGTGGTGGTGGCTTAAAACAACAGACATGAATTGTCTCACAGTTCTGGAGGCCTAAGGTCCATGATCAAGATGTCAGCTGTGCCACGCTCCCTCTGATGCTCTCATAGAGGATCCTTCCTTGCTTCTCCCAGCTTCTGGGGGCTGCCAGCAACCCTTGAGGCGTTTTTGTTTGCAGATGCCTCAGTCTAGCCTCTGCCTCTGCCATCGTCTAGCATTCTCCCCGGTGTCTCTGTGTCCAAATCACTCTCTTCTCTTTTCTCTCATAAAGACACCAGTCTCTGGATTAGGCCCATCCTAATCCAGCATGACCTCATTTTAACTTGTTTACAACTGCAAAGACCCTTCTTCCGAGTAAGGTCACATTCACAGGTTCTGGGAGTTAGGGATTCAACGTAGATTTTTAGGGAACACCATTCAGCCCACAACAACAGCAGAAGACTTTTAGTAGCACTCAAGTACAGTGAAGAGAGCAAAGGGAGCAGTTTCAAATGCTGGAAATCATATTGAAGATTTTAGTGAATAAAAGGATAAAGGTATTAGCCCTAGGCAAGAAAAAGCAAAAAATATGCAGTAGGTTTATTTTAAGTTCAGATATAGGTGAAGAGAAGATAGCTATAAAATTAGTAAATTATCTTTTATGACTTTTCACGGTTATCTAAAGCATGTCTCATGAATCTTTACATCTATAGCAATATGATTATTGATTCAGGCAGGTAAACATGCACTCATAAAGAACAACTTGCTAGGGAGACAGTCTTTATCACTTGGCATTGAATGGGGGAAAGCTACAAAGAGGAAAATCTGTCACTCATGTTGGTAAATAGAGCATTTAATCTGATTTAAAGTCCTCGTTTCAAACTGCTTACTTGGCTAAACAAAGCTCTGTAATTCACTAGGTCATATATCTAGCTTCCTTGAAAGTAAGATAAAGAAACTTTAGGGCACAGCATCCAAATAAATAAGGCACTTTTCTGTTTAAGTGACTTATCTCATGATTTCCCTTTAATTTAAAGTTAGTTTCCTTCTTCAGCAGAGACTCATATTTCTAACTTCAAATTTTCTGTTTCAAAAGGGGGAGCTGAAATTATTTTGTTTGCACATGTGGACAGCATTCCTTGTAAAAGAATGGAATGATCCAAGATTAGGAGGTATATTCTGAAAGGAGGGGCTGGGTGCAGCAGGACTTGGTGGCAGACAGGCTGTGAAGAACAGGAGGGGGACCAAGTGGAGCCTCTCCCTGGGCTCATAGAATGTGTGTGCTCAGCAGATGTTTGGTGAATGAATGAATAAGAGCAGAGACAATGCAGGAAACTTACTAGAAATGAAGATGACGAGAGTAGAGAATGAATGGGCTGTAAGATGTGAGCTTCCTTTTGGAGATACTGATCTTATGTCTCTAGAAAAATCACTCCAGGAGGCAAAAATAAAAAGCATAACTGGGGCTTGGGAGTGAGATCAGGGTAGAATGCCGGTTTAGGAGGCACTGGCAAGGAAATGATACTTGAAATAATGGGATCTGGTGAAATTTTTGGTGGAAACTCTTCACAAAGAAAAGAGGTGGGCTTAGCATAGAACAGAACATGGAAACCGTTCACATTTAGGAGACGCTAGAGGAAGGAGGGCTGGAGGAAGAAAACAAGGTACGGCAGTGTGAAGGCTGGTGCTGGTCAGTAGCAGGGCAACCCAGCTGAAATTGTCCAAGTCCAGTGAAGGACAGGGCTTGAGGACAGACCCAGCTGCTGAAACGGCAGGGAGGACTGGCAGAGCAGAGCAGAAGACTCCCAGTATCTGCAGTTGTATGAGAGCAGAGGAGTGCTTGGTACCTGAGGCATGGCTGCTGCTAGGAGGTGTGAATCAGATGCTTTGGGATGACCCTGGGAGGTGTCATGCTGGACACTGGTGAAAGAAAGGCACGATGTCAGTCTTGGAGGATATCTGAGTAGCATAACCTCATGGTTTTAAGAACTTGGGCTCTAGAATCAGATCTATGTTCCAAAACCAGTTCTGTGAAGTTTGTGACCTTGGGCAACTTCCTGAAGCAAACTGATGCTTCATTTCTTCACCTGTGAAGTGGTCATAGAATATGAACGGGCATTGAACATGACAATGTGTGTAAAGAGCCAAGTCCAATACAAGGGGCACAGCAGGGGGTCAGTGAACCTTAGCTATTAAGAATAGCACTTGCGTGGCTAGGAAGGTAAGAACTCAGGATGGGAAGTTGTATCAGTCAGGCTAGACAAGGATAAGCTGCAGTAACAAACAACCCTAAGCCTCAGCCCCTTACAATAATGAAGGTCAATTTTTTAGCCAGTGGCACGTTCATCATGCATTGGCAGTGGCTCCGCCATGTTGTCTTCACTCTGAGACCCCAGCAGAAGAAAAAGAGTGCCTGGCGAAGAGCAGGCTTATACAGCTTCTGCTCCAAAGTAACATATGCCATTTTTGCTCACATTTCACTGGCCACTGTTGCATAGCAGTGCCAGAGTTCAATCGAGCAGGGCAGTATAATCTCTCAGTTAGGGACACCCAATGTTGGTAAAGAGTAATTCAGTTGACTGCAGCAGAGCTAGTCAGCGGCAGAAGCAGGGAGTGTGACCAGCTGTGTAAATCAGTAACTCAGCTTCAAAGTCTGGGTCATAGAATCAGAGCCGAGCCTGGAGAGCTGTTCTTGAGCCTGGGATGGGACAAACAGAGCATGGGACAGGCATGGGTAGGCCTGGGCAATTCTCTTCAGGAAGAAAGAAAACCAAGATGAAGAAGCCAATAATAACAAACGGGAGGGGAGAGTTGATAAAAATTACACAATAACCTGACCTAAGTCCTGCTGGCCCAACAACCCATGCGTGTTCACAGACAGGTGAGCACTTGTGTTGTGTGCCCAGGAGACTGGGTCCCCGGTGGAAGAGAACCATGCAAAGAAATGAAGCCCTGGTGCCTGCTTCTGTTCTCAGACTCATCTTTGCATCCTCAGGGAAGTTCTGTTCTTTGCTCTCCTGTCTCAAGTCAATAGCCATGAGTGAGAAAAGTGAGAAATGGAATGAGAGAAACAACACCATCATAGAACACATGAACACAAAACACACAACACACGCCTGGTCTTCGGGTGCCCCTGCAAACACAGTACACACGTTTAAAAAAAGTTTAAAAAAATATATTTTCTGTTGCCTAAGCTTACACTCAACATGGGGCTTGAATTTGCAACCCCGAGATCAAGAGTCACATGCTCCACTGACAGAGCAAGCCAGGCACCCCAGAGAGTGCACACATTTCAGATAGAACAGTTAAGGAAGGTTAGGAGGGAGCAAAGGATGGCAATATGGAAAAGTGATAAAAGAAAATTAATAAGATAAACAAGAGTGGGACCTCACCCAGGCCAGTGGTGACAATTTTCCATGAGCTGAGGAGTGTAATTACCTCAATCCATTGCTCCTGAACTCCAAAAATGAATGAATGAATGAATATTTTTGTCTTCTACTCAGTCTTCTGAAGTATTTTGTGTTTCACTAGAGAGATCTTGTTAGAGCTTCAAAAAGTTGTGGAGCTACTTGTTTGCTTTATTTCATGAAGAGACTGTGTGTAGCTCTCATCCCATGGGGTGCGCTCTGATGTTCTCAGGTACTCCCTGTGTGAACTGCATGGAGTCTGGAGCGAGGACCCATCTGACAACCACTGGGCTCGCCAGTAAAAATTCCTGTGATGATAGAAACGTTCTCCAGTCTGTGCTGTTCAACTCAGGAGCTGAATTTTAAATTTTATTTAAGTTTAAGTGTAGGCATACAGCTACCATTTGGGGCATCTGAGGCTAGATTCTAGGTCCCAGAGTGGATGTGCCAGGCAGTACCTACCTTCTGGATGGTGCTGGAACTCTCCAGATGGTCTGGCCTGGCTGTTACATGTTAACATGGGGCACAGCGGGTCCTGGCTCCTTCTTAGAAGTAGAAGATGTGTAATTATGTGGGCTGGGGTCACCAAGGGAAGGCAGCGGAATCTAGGGCATCCTTCTCAACCAGGTTCTACAAGAGAACAAAGTCCTATGGAACACAAGGGGAATGCCTATTTCTTCAATGTTCTCAAGAGCAGCACCTATCTAGAACCATTCTAGGTGCACGGGGGAGAAGGGAATTATTTATATTCAGGATCTTGGGGCTTTTCTTCTGGAACTGGGATTTTTAAAAACTGGTCTAGGGAAAGGGAGGGCTCTTAAAGTAGAATTAAAAGTAAGGAAGTGGATCCCAACCTTCTCATTCCTTCCAAGGACATTTTTCTTGGACCTACAAAACCATTACAGGTATCAGAATGCAATAGGAGCCTATGGTATGTCCAAGGTCTTGCCTGATAATTCTCTGGTATATAAGCAAAAGCATTTCATCATCCAAGGAAGAAGTTCCAGCCAACTTCCAAGCCATGACTAATCTTGTTTTCTTCTCCATCATCATCGCCATCAGCCCTCTCTATCACTGCATCCAAAACACTTGATTTCCTGGCCAGTTGTGCAAAGCACCTTATGTGAGGATAAAAACAAACATAACCTTTTAAAAGCTTACAAGTACAGACAGATACAAAGAATGTAGGTCATGTTTGGCACATAAAACTTATGTATAAATCAACTTGTATCTTTAAGACAAGAAATAGCTTACATTGTTAGTAGAATACAGAAAAGTATAAGAAAGAAAAGAAGTGTGTGTATGTGTATATATATAGTATAAACATGCTATATGTGTATACAGTGTGTATATATTTACACATATATACACATATATACATACACACATATATATATAAATATTTATACATACATGAGATTCAGACAATATAGACAAACGGAAAGTGAAAGTCTCTTCCCTTCACATCTCTCTTCAAAATGGTAGCTTTCAAGAACTTTTCTTGATTCTGTCCATAAATTAAAAAAAAACCCTTAATGTGAAACTATTCATGTCAATGCATACTCAATCACACACATGCATAATTCACAGGGGGATCAGAATATACAGACATAAAGACTGGCTTTTTCACATAACATCTGTGGAGATTTCTACTCTTGGAACATGTAGGCACACCTCCTTCTTTGTCCTGCCTGCATAGTATTCCATTGTGTGGCCTTCAGGGTTGAATTATGTCCCCCAACCAAAAAAAAACCATGTGGGAGTCCTAACTCTTAGTTCTTCTTCAGAATGTGACCTTATTTAGAGATGAGGTCTTTATAGAGACAGTGAAGTGAAAATGAGATCATTAAGTACAAAAATGACTGTTGTCCTGATAAAAAGGAGAAATTTGAGCATAGAGACAGGCATACACAGAAGGAGGTTGTTATGAAGAGGTAGAGGGAGAAGACCACCATTTATAAACCAAGAACAGAGGCCTAGGACAGTTCCTTCCCTCACAATTTTCAGGAAGAAACAACCCTGTCAACACCTTCATCTTGAACTTCTTGCTTCCACAACTGTGAGACAGTAAATTTCTATTATTTAAGAATACATCATCTGTGGTATTTTGTTATGGCAACCCTGGAAACTAACACATGTGGTGCATCAACATTTATGTTGCTAGTCCCTTCGATGGACGCTTTGTCTCCAGAAGAATGTTTTTAATACAGTAGGCAAATTGAAATTGAAAGAATCCCTTTGGGTGAGTTGTTTGTTTTTTATAAAACAAACAATTCTTTTGGGGGTATGAACACTTACTAATTTTTCAGACTTGATTATTTGCTTTTTAATATATCAAGCTTTCTTAAAGTGAGCCCACCTGTAAACAAGAAGCTGACGGAGAGCAGTCACAGGTATTCCACAGCTCACAGTGAGTGAAAGGGAGTCAGGTGACATTCTTAGGACTCTTTTGGTTTCAAGTGACAGAAGCCCCATTTGTACTAGCCTGAGGGCAAAGGAAGTTAAAATTTTTTAAGATTATTTATGTGAGAGAGAGGGAGAATGAGTCGAGGGAGAGGGGCAGTGGGGAGAAGCAGATTCCCTTCTAAGCAGGGAGCCTGACTCAAGCCTTGATCTCAGGACGCTGGGATCTTAACCTGAGCCAAAGGCAGATGCTTAACCGACTGAGCCACCCAGGCATCCTGGAAATTAATTTTAAGGCTATTCTGATGTCTTGCAGGATTTAAGGAGAGCTGGGTTTCAGGGAAAATTGAGACCAGGGACCAGGACATCATCAGAACCCTCTCTTTCTGACTTGAGTCCTCCTTCTCTTTGCAAATTTTATCAGTTCTCCATGTCTTCTTGAGATGAGCTTCCCTATCCATGTGACCCACAAGATAGAGAGCCTGGCTTTGAAAGGACTCTGTTGGGTTCAGCTTGGGTCACTGTCATGCCAGGACCTAGCCTCACCCAAGAGCAGAGTCATGGTGTACTAACCTGACTGCAGTTTTGGAAACCATTTGGATGTTGGGAGTGGCATGGGTGGGTAGAAGGAAGTTTCCAGAAGACAACAGCCTGGGGTCTCCTAATTGTTTTGATGGAAGCTTCCTAGAAGAGATATAATTTCACTGATGCCACCATTTAGAGAAAACCTTTTTAACACTCACCCCAAGGGCCCTGGGCCAGCTCCTTGGGCCACAGAGAAGACCCCCCTATCCGAGCAGAGGTACCTTTGACAATTTGGATCCCCCCAAGTGCATCCCTCCCCAGACCTCTGCAACTGTGTGATCCTTCCAGGCAGAAGCAGAAAGCAGCAGAAATGACTGTCAAAACAAGGCCAGGCTCTGCCTGCAGGAAAATCCGGGCTGTGGCAGTGGCTCAACGCCTGCCAAACGAAATACCAGTTAGGAGATGTCGCTGGCATGCAATTTAAAGAATAACTCGACTAGCACTTGAGGTTATTTAGAAAAATACCTTTGGTCACGTGCTTTCCAGAATGCTATGTACTTGAAATGAATCATCTGTACCCAGCCCAGAGCAGATTTAATTACAATCCCCTCCCATGTTGCTTCTTTTAAAACTTGACCTTCTTTTCTGGTTGCTATTCAAATTCGGCAAAATATCAACTTGATTTTTTTTTTTTTTTTTGAAGCTAAGGAAGAATCTTTCTATAACTGAACAGTTCCAGACAGGAAGAAGGGACCAAGCTCACAGGGAGGAGGCTTGCAATGTAGTGATGACTACAGATTACCTTTCATTACAGGGAATATGTCATTTACCTACGAGGGCCAGAAAATAATTTATCCTAACGACTGTACGCAGCTTGTAAGCAAAAACAAACATCAAGAGGACAAACAGAATAGTTTGTGAATAATTTGACTCGACTATGCCAGCCAAGCATATGTGACATCTGTATTTCTAAAGCAGGGGGATGGGGGGTGTCTCTATTCATGTTGACGCTGGGGTTTTAATGGATATGATTAACCCATGGGTCGTGCCCATGATTTAATAGCGTGGCCTTTATCGGGAGACCAGTAAACAGGCAAGAGCAAGGAAAAAAGGTCCTGGAAAAAGAAGTCAGGCAGGATCATGAACCCCTTGGAGCCTCAGTATTTGCATCTGTGAAGAAGCCTCAATGATCCACGCATTGCAAGGTTTCACACGATTTAGAGAAAACAGATATAAAGTGACTGGCCCAGGATGGAAGGCTTAGTAACACAGGTTATTATTGTTCTTTTTCAGCCTGCTTTCCGGTGCCTGGTAGAGGAACTGTTTGCCCCTCTGGATGTTAAGCAAACATAGCCTGCCTCAATACAAAGTTGGACCAGGTTCCCATCTCATTGTCTTTGTGTTTCACATTGGTCATTAGATCTGCTTCGTGGCTGGCACCAGGGAATCACGCTCATCAGTGTCAGTTGGGGGTTGATCAAAACCTATGGTCCCTGGGGTTGAGTAGCTCAGAGGATTAGGCTGGCCTGACCCTCACAGTGAGGGTGTATGGTTTCACGGCATTACTCCCACGTGAGAGAGAATGATCATGAACAGACATCCCTCCCAGCCAGAAATCCTGTCTTCCTGGAGAGCACCATGAGCTCCTTGTCATCCAGACCCTTCCATCCTTTCCTGGGCCTATGTCCCACACCCCTTCTCCTCAAGATGTCAGCTTCCCTCCCTCTCTCCCTTCTTTCCTTCCCTCCAAGAACCCAGCCTATGCGGGTACACACGCTCACCAGGGGGCACATTTCTGTCTAGAGGACTTACAGCTATTTCTTTAGGAGGTTGAGGGAGGCTATGTGGAGAAACCAGATCATGAAGTCAGATGAACCAACCACGCGGTGGTGTCTGCTGTGTTCTGAGTGATTTTTATCATCACACCTGAGGCAGGTCAGTGACCACATGTCCCACAGCCTCCCAGCCGCTCCCTCCGACTCTCAGCTCATTCTCCTTTTCCACCAGTCCCCCTGGAACAGGTGGGGGGAGGGAGAGCCCCTTGATATCTTAGCTGTCCTTGACCACCCATCCTCAAACTCCTTTGACACCTATAATATTTTTCACACAACTCAGAAAGAAAACAAAAACAAAAACAAAAACAAAATGAAGTGAGAAAGATGGGAGAATGATCAAGGAAAGCCTCTCTGAGGAGACTGTGTTTCTGCAGAGACTGAGTGGTGTGAAGAAAGATGGGAGAGGTGTGGGCTCCAGGAAGAGGAGACAGACAGGAGATCGCCTGCAGTGGGAGGGGTGGGTGGGACCGTGCTTGGCTGGTGAGGCAAGAAGGCCACCAACATAGGCCCTGCAGGTCTTGGTTTTGCTTATGGATTTTATTTAAATTTTGATGTGAGCTTTTGGAAAGTTTTTTTTATTGTGATAAAATATACATATCATAAAATGTACTGTTTTAGTCCATTTTAAATGGACTGTCCAGTGGCATTAAGTACATTCACACTGTTATGCAACCATCATTGCCATTCATCTCCAGAATGCTTCCATCTTGCAAAACTGGAACTGTACCCATTGCACACTCACTCCCCACTCCCTGTCTTGCAGCCCTTGGCAAGCACCATTCTACTCTCTGCAACATACTCACCAACACTTGTTATTTCCCTTTTGTGTATGTGTGTGTGTGTGTGTGTGTGTGTGTGTGTGTGTGTGTTTAATAGTAGCCCCCCAATGGGTGTGTTTTAGACAGTTCTGACCCAGGGGTGGGGGGCATGACCTAGTTTGTGTATTTAAAGGATCCTTCTGGCTGGAAGGTAGAAGATGAAGTGTGTATAAATTACCAGGATAATTTTGAGGGTGAAGGGACTTCTGTGAGTAAGTATTCAGGGCCAGTGTACAAAGTATCATTGTCCCAGTGAAAGCAGATGGGTGTTCACCTACCTTTGGAAGGGGAGAGTGAGGCACTCAGAAGGCCGAGAGCAGGCAAAGGTGAGGGTACCCTGTATCCATCGGCAACAGAGAGGGGGGTGGGTAGGGGAGCCACTACCATCCCCGTATGAAGGGGGGGAAGGAGAAGCTGGTATCCCTGACTCCAGGGGCCCAGCAGATATGTTCTCAGGGAGCAAGAGCAGGGAGGAAAAGGCTACTGCCACTGACCTCCAGCTGTGTCCGAGATTTGTCCCTGCTCTCCCCTCCCCAACTCCCACTGGCTGAACCCAGGTGGAAGACATGGCCTGGGAGCCCCCACAGCAGCCTACAGGGCTGAATAGTGAGGAGAGCAGGAAGGCCTGAGGGGACTGAGTATTCACTACAGGGTGGTCATGGGAGGTGGAATCAATAGGCCCAAGACTGGCTATGGGGTCTGAGGCAGAGAGCAGAATGAAGAAAGAGGCCAGCGTTTCTAGAAAGAGTTGCCCCTTCCTCAAGGTGGGGAGATGGGAAGGGAGCAGGGAGAGGGTTGGTTCCAGGGGCTCGTCCTCTGTTATTCCATTTAGCTGCACCTTTGTTTTGTGTGGATTTTTGGTGTAACCTCTTATTTAAGAGCTTATTTATTTATTTTAAAGTGAGAGCACAAGTGGTGGGGTGGGAGGAGAGAAGCAGAGGGAGAAGGAGAAGCAGGCTCCCTGCTGAATAGTTGAATAGGGACCCTGATGGGGGGCTCCATCCCAGGACCCCAGGACCATGAGCTGACCTGAAGGCAGATGCTCAACCAACTGAGCCACCCAGGAGCCCCTGGTGTAACTTTTACTTAACAATAAAATGGTGTAAGGTAAAAAAGGAAGAAAACTCTGGATACTTAGGGAGTCAAACATTACATTTTTCTCTGTGCTCCTTAATGGATAAGGCAGAAATAAAAATCAGTCCCAGGCAAGGGGGGGCTCTGCAACTTTGACCATCTCTTGCATGGGAGCCGGAGGTAGGGAAGAGAGAAGACAGGAGCTTCCCCTCCATGGACTGTGAGACACAAACACAACAGGCCAAAATGAGGAAAAGGAGAAGCCAGAAGCATTAGATCCAGGTAGGTCTGGGGAAGATGTTAACCCTGGAGCCCTGGCCACAGGGTCAGCAAGGTGAGGTGAGCAGGCTGGGTCAGCCAGGGCTGGGGAGGCTGACACATGGAGCCTGGCCCAGGGGAAGGGAGGACAGGCAGTCAGCTGTGGGCAAGGAGCTGGCTAGTCTAGAGGGTCCTCTTGCGGGGAAGTTTTGTTTCTTTCTTTTAGGGAACAGTTCTCTTGGCTCTGTATTTGAAGCAGAACTTATCACTGAGTCCTCACATAAAGGATGTTGAGTCATACACAGAACTGTCACTCTAAGTAAAGAGGTAAACTGAGGCAAGGTCAAAATTGTCAAAAAAGATGAGTTTACTTAGAAATAGCAGAGGAATTGCAGTTACATATACGCTGTGGCAAGCCTCAGGCAAGTCTGATGAGGATTTGGGGTGGGCTGTGTTTATGGGTCAAAAGGTAATGAGGGGAGAGCTCATTTAGAGTCCGTTAAAATAAAAACCCAGAGGCCAGCTTTGAAAATTCCCTGAGCAAACAAAACCATTCCAGTCACACAAACAAAGCTCCATTCAGCTTATTTGTGAGACCAGCCTGACCTGGCTTGCTTCTTGTTCATGCCTCTGGAAATTAAGTAAATCTTCCCAAGCTTGATAAGAGGCAACACTTGACCAACTCCTTATCATTTAAGACAATTCCAAAATTATCGGTGTTCTGTAAACCAGGCATTTATGGGATAGCAGTCTCTTAGTCCTTAAGTTTTGTTTTCCCAAGGGCACATGCATGACCTTCTTCAGTTTTGTTTGTTTGTTTGTTTGTTTGTTTTTTGAGAGAGCATGCAAGCGGGAGGGAGGGGCAGAGGGTGATGGAGAAGCAAACTCCCTGCTGAGCAAGGGCCTCCCTCCCCGCCACCACAGGGCTTGATCACACGACCCTGAGACCATGACCTGAGCCAAAATCTAGAGTTGGACCCTTAACCGACTGAGCCACCCAGGTGCTCCATGAGGTTCCTTACTTTAAATCCTCTGGTTCCATTTTAGATGGAAATTCTTTTACAAGGCTATACCTTCCTCCCTCAGCTGATCTGCAGAAAATTTAAGAATAATT